ACCTGCTTCAAACGCGGCCACCACTTGGCTAACCCTCCCCTTTGATTGAGTCGAAACATCAGTAGCCCTAGAGGAGGGACCCCTTCGTTTAATTTCAAAACACTGATTCTCCTCTTCAGACTCTGAATTATCAGAAACCAAAGCTTTGATCAAATTCTCCTTGGGGGCCGACTCCTGGAACCGGCCACTTGCTTTGTTCAGCTCCGCAGGCCCAGCCACCACTCTGCTCACTGGTGTTGGGCCGCCATCTCTCCCAGTTACCTCCTCCGCATCCTGGGCCTTTCGCACTTTTCCTTTTCCAGGTCGGGCCTGCTGAGGTTTAGGCCGAATGGAAGCCTTGCTCTTAGCTACGGGCTTTTTGCCGATCTGGGTCGACCGCTTCCCCTTCATCATTCTGGCCTCAATTACAGGCCCAGTCTCCCGCCCAGCAGCAACATCGCTCCACGGACTGGCCTCCACCCCCGCCCAGCCTGCCCGATTGTGAGGGGGGAGAGAAGTACCCGGCCCCATCTCCATCTCGGGCCCCTGCCCATTTATAACAGGCCCCCTAGCCTTCTCGGGCCCCGGCCCATGCATTTTAGGAGCCCGATCGATTGTCAGGGCATCATCATCAGAGTCTGATTCTAGGAGGAGCCGGCGACGCCGAGTTTCGGCGAGAATTTCCGGCGAGTTGTCATTCAGCTCTTCTTGCCCATCGCTAGTGCCGCCCTGGGAGACCCCAACCTGCCTTCCCCCACCATCCTGGCGACAACTATCCATGATAATTCCACCTTTTCCTTGTTTTTTAATTCTTCCTTTCCCCACTTGAATCCGTGGCGGTTTATTGACAGGGAAGCCCCGCGGACTCGCCGTCTTGGGCCGCGCTGGTTTCAATCCTTGCTCTTGATTGAATTTGCTACCATGGGTCGACTTACCCATCACGGTTTGAGGAAGCTCCTCCACCTTCCTTGTGGCCACTGTTCTTCCCTCTTCATGGTCACAGACAAAGGTACGAGAATGGCCGGTAGGGCCATTGATTTGGCGATTAACCCAAACTGTCTGCCGAGGGCCCCTTGCGCTCATAGTATCGATCTCTTCATCATATATTCTCCTCCCCATCTTCTTGGTCGACATATGTGGGCCAAAACGTTCCTTCCTCTTCGGCGGCTCAAACGAGCAGTCACGCCGAGCGTGACCCACTCGGCCACAATGATAGCAAAAGCTAGAAAGAAACTCGTATTTCAGATTCACCCAAAACCCATCAAATTCATCACTAGCCGCCATCAGCTGGGATCTAAGCGGTTTGGCAAAGTCAATAAGCGCACGAACTTTGATAAATCTCTCCCCTGTATCCGTGCAGGCAAACACATCCGATTCCAGGACTTGGCCGATAGCCGTAGCCACCATCTTGCGCCCAAATAATTTTGAGCAGCACTTCTCCTTCACACCCCAGAGTTGGATACGGAAGGGCGCCACAACTAACTCCTCAAATATCTTCCTGGGAATCGTGGGGATCCAGGCACGGAGAGTAAGCAGCTTGTCATTGATAACCCAGGGGGTTCGCTTCAAAACCCAGCTTCTTGCCTCTATGTTCGGCAACATGATTTCAAACAAACCATGGCTGGTCGTGGAAACTCGCACTCGTCCCTTGATCTGCCAGGCGTCGATCCGCGCATCTCGCAGTTCCAAGGTCGAGATTTTGTCGGCCGTGAACAGTCGTCCTATCAATGTGCGGGATGCACGGAGCTTGGTGGATTGAACCTCATCCAATGAAAATTGGATCACCTGGTCCTCGGACATATGAACCATTGCTCGGGCCTGACAGGGAAAAGCAGGGGTCAACTGGGGATTAATCATAAGATTTTCATGGGGTCTATCCCTCGAAGGGGAATGATCCGCCACCAGAGATGGGTTTAAATCACCCAGTAAATCAGAAAGCCCCTCACTCCTCAACAAAGAGTTAACAACGGCAACTTTAGAGGAAGGGGATAAGGAATGGTGATCATATTCCTCCTTACCTGAGATTGCACCAGCCGACTTATGTTGAGAAGTAGCTGCAACGAGGGAGCAGTCCCGCAACTGAGATTTCACCAGATATTGGTTGTACATCAGTCGCAGTATAGGGGAATATATAATGAGAAACGCAGTCATAGCTGCTTCTCTTGTGGCGTGTAACCAGAAACGGTTAGCAATTGGTGTTGTAGTAGAAGTAGGACTTCTTTCTCCCACAAGTCTATCATCTAGGCTGTCGGTGGGAATAATCTTTTGCAATTCCTGCCCAACAAACCACGGCAATCTCGGATCGAATCGGGTCACAACAGAATTGGAATCTGTCCCCCGATGTTTGCGGATTTTTTGAGGATCCGAGTTCCGCGTCCAGGTCCAACCGCTACCGCCGTGCAGTCAGAGTTGGGAGTCCGCCGCCTTCTTTGCCGGCCAGTGTAGCGCAGGTTTCTGCGTAGTTTCTTCCCAAATCAAGCACGGCAAACTCTCCGCAGTTTTTCGGTGAACATGCTCTGAATTAGAGGCGTGGATCTTCTTCTCGCCACGCACCGGCTGGGTTGCCGGCGATTCCTCCTCACCCATTTCAAACGCAGGTGGAAGCCAGAATCGCCAGCCCCTTAATGGCAACGATCTGCCTTTTTTAGACAGGGCACAGCTGGGGGAGGCATCAATCTCCCAGCCCTCTTCTCTTTTTCGTTTCCGATACGATCTTTCCGAGCTGTGAGGTGGCTCGTTGCGTCTCCGGTGGCAGTCCGACTTTCTGCTCTTTTGCGTACTCGGCTGCCCGGCGCCAACGCCGGCGGTCCCTTTGGGAGTTGATGATGAAAGGTCCACTGCGATGTTTTGATTGAGAAGACTGGAAGATAACCAAGAGGAGATCACCGTCAATAGCCAATCTCCAAGCCTGAAGGATATTTCGAGGAGAGAGCTCCTCTCGCCATCAGTTTTTTTTTTTTTTTAGAATACCTCGACGTCTCCCTAACTTCACTGCTTTCAATTGTTGAAATGTGGTTGATGTTGAACATGCCTCTCTCTCATAGTAGCCCGAAATCATATGTTTTCCCCCTTTCCCTCTCTAATCATTATTGAATCTGCTGCTCAAACTTTTTTCTTATTGATATTGGCTTTTTCTTCGGGGCTTTTACTTGAAGAGACACGCATCCATGTTGCTGTGATTCCACGAGAGAAAGACGTTATTAGTGGAGATGCTGATGTTGCTGAAGAGATCGTGATTATGTCATTGCTAGCGTAGCTGAATTATAGCTTATGCTGCTTGTGCCGTGTTTTGCATTAGATTAGGATTAATTGGTGTAATTAATTGAGGGCACTTTAGGAATTCCACAAAAATTTAGGCAGTGTCACAAGAATCACAGTAAACAAAAACTTTTTGTTTTTTTATTTATTTCTTTACATTTTTTTCTATTACAAGGAATTAAAGGGAAAAGCACTACAGAATTACAGGGGAAAAACAAACGAATTACAGGGAAAAACGAAAAGAATTTGCGTAAGGACCAATTCTGTGTATCCACATATCCAGGCGTAAAACTGAAAAGAAGGGGGAAAAAAACGCTGACTGAAACAACAATTAGGCAAACAAGAAGGTAGAAGAAGAGACCCCAAAGCTACAGCCTACAGCAAAGAGCAACTATCGAACCAATAACCATCCCCGCTGGAAACGCAAACTAATTAGGCTAGGCCTAGTCGCGATACCTGACATATCGGTTTATCGGGGCGAGTTGAGGCCAGTAAAAGTATGCATAAGCCCAGCGGTACGCTTTAAGTTGGGTGCCCATAGTGAAGCTCACCAATGCATCAAGAGCGGCGTATTGAATCTGCTGCTCGGTGAGTATGGCGCGATTCCAGTTGGAATTAGCGATTTCATCGCCGAATCGGATGTAGGCGTCACCGAGGATCTCGTCGGTGAGCTGCTGTGTACTGAAGCCGTAGTAGTTCTTATTGCCATCATGTGTTGCAAGTATAGCCAAATTCAGGAATCGCATCCGTTGCTGATCGATTATGTTCCTCAACGACTGCATGTCGGCTCCAACGAAGGTGATGGTGAGATCAGCGAGGGCTTGCTGAACGGAAAGCGGCAGAAAACGCATGCGAGCCGTCTGTATCACCAAACACACCCTCCCGAAACAGATATTGAATGTGGAAGTAGCTCCGGCAGCGCCGGGGTGAAGCGACCGCCGAGTCCGACGGTACATTGATCGCGAGGCTCAGCGAGCAAGTATTGTCGAATCCATGCGTTGACTGCTTCCACGTTGTAGGTGACAGTGACTCTCACCTCCGGCTTACCGTGGAAGAGGAGATCGTACTCTCGAGTGTGTGGTGGAAGGGGGACAGCGGGATGGTACGGCACAAGAGTGTGGTATGAGCTCGTCATGGAAATCAGATATCAAGAAGCTAGTTCTTGCACGAGGAACGGAAAGGAGAGGTTCGGTTAGAAATGGCGCTGAATTTGGGAGTCGGAAGAGCTCGGTGCTTGGAGGAGGGACGGAAAGAGAAGGTTTGGTTATAATGGCTCTGAATTTGGGAGTGGGAAGCTCGTTCTTGGAGTAGGAACGGAGAGGGAAAGTTTGGGCGCAGAATTGGGGAATTTGGGAGCGGCGGGGGATGTTTCCAGAACTTTGAGAGGACTGGGGGCGGGAGGGGTGGGGGTGTTTATATAGTGTCCGGGAACGGAATAGTAAGAATGAGGGAGTGAGTGATGGTTGTGGAGGAGCGGCCTCTTCCGATTCCCAGGAGTTCCTGCCTCTGCTGCTCTTCACTTCCGTTTTTGACTATTCTTCTGGGTGGGATGTTCTCAGTTTCTAATCTCCAACCCAGCTTTTAATAAAAGAGAATGGGAATGGATTGTATGCTTTTTATTTGGTGATGGTGGTTAAAATGCTACCTAGCTTCTTTCATACCGTTCTGTGCTTGGATCTCATGGTGCTTAATTCTGACAATGCTCAGAGCAATAGAGGTTCTGTGTTTGAAGAGGCAAGCCAAGGAGCCTGAAGAAGACACAGATGATGATGATGATGATATGTCGAGAAGAAACAACACCCGCCACACCAACAAGAACAGCATCAGCAGCAGTATGGGGGCTCGGCTCAAGTTGGAATGACCAAGGCGGGAGATGGTGCAATCCAAGCTTGGTGAAAGTGGTAGGGAATCAGGATTGGGAAACAAGCAACTGCAATGAGAGAGGTCAGCAGCAGCAAATGGAGGTGCATGGGAAAGTGGCACAAATAAATGGGAATGACTTCTTTGTGAAGGTGTTCTGTGAGCACAGGCCAGGTGGGTTTGTGAGGTTGCTAGAGGCTTTGGATTCTCTTGGCCTAGAAGAAGTCACCAATGCCAATATCACCAGCTGCAATTCCCTTGTTTCCATTGTTTTCAGGGCGCAGGTAAAAGCCTGATAAGCTGCATAAGCATGCATCAATTTGCACACTGTTCTGAATCTTACTTCTGAAGGTGATAGTTCTGAATCTTACTTCTATTTCTATAGCCAAAGCTGCCTTTCTTTCCCTTGAATGTGCTCACCGTAGCCGTTAGCATATTAGCCATTGACGTAGTTGAGATGTTCTGCTTCTTGTCTGTGTAAACAGTTGGACTTTGTTTGATAGTTTCGGTAGAAGACATTTGTGGTAACTCACATGAAGTTGGTTGGGCTAATGGTATCAGAATTCAGAAGCAACATGCTTCCGGTTGTTCTCTGTTTCCTTTTGGAATGTCGGACGTTGAGGAGTTCTCTTTCTGCATTCATGTTTGGGCCTGTCAGTTCTTCCTTTCCTAGGGGGTTTGGTCAGGAAGAAACTCTGAGGCAGGATCATTGATTTGGACCTCAGGAAATTCATATCCATTTGTGATCCGTCTTCATTTTGCTTTTCTGTTCACATTTCCTTCAGATCATACTTGGGATAAAGCTGGGAATGAAACCAGACGAGGCAAGATCCAATATCAAAACACTTTCTGATGTAGAAGGGTTGTGTGTATCTTTTGCTAGAAAAAGTCGTTCTTCTGATCCAGTCATTGCCGAAAAGGTATCAGTATCACCACCTCTCCACTTGTTTGGTCAGCATCGTCCGAATATTTTGATTGTTCATATCCTGCTTAGCTACTCTAAATCATTTCCTCCCACTACTACTGCAGGAATTTCTGAAAGAGGAACCATATACAGCTGAAGAAATCGAAAAAATAACTGGAGAGAAGCTTACAACTACATTTAGCAGTTCTGCATCCTCATTGGAGGTGCTAAAGGCAGCCAAGAACTTCAAGTTGCATCAGGTATGCGTAAAAAGTCCTAGAATACTTCACACAGCTTGAACCTTTTCAGTTTAAAGAACTATCTTGCTCTGCTTGAATTCTTGCATTCTCTTGAGTCAAGTGTCACAAATTTCTGGTTCAAAATGCCATTTAGCAGAACTTCTTCACACCCTTTACCCCATGAAACTTCTGCTTCATCTATCTATTCTATCCACTTCTCTATTTTGACAACTAACCAAGTTTGACACTTTGCCTTATCATTTTTATCTCAGAGCGCTTGCCCATGTTTACTCAGAAGCCAAGCGGATACTCGCTTTCAAGGATGTTGTGGTGGCAAATCTCAAGTATGTTATTTAGTAGTTTACCAAAATGAACATCACCACCTTCTCCCTTCCGGGGAGTTGTAGATTACCATCTTTGTGCCGAACTTCGAGTATCTAACTCCCAAAGAATTGTTTTTTTCCTGGAGACAAGGACAAGCTGAAGAAGCTGGGGGACCTAATGATTGACAGCCACCACAACTTCAGTGTCCTATACGAGTGCAGGTACGAATCTTATCGCCCTTGTTGATCAAATGAACAATTTCATACAAATGTATCTATGAATTCTTTCTTCCTCTGACTATATATGTTCTTCTCATCAACTCGCCCAACTATCTGCCCAGATCGGAAGCCTTCCTTGACGATCCACGAACCGACCAGAAATCAGCTCAATGGCTTCACCTACCATTGATTTAACCCTCTTTGTTAGCTAGCTGGCTTTCTCCGTTGTTCATCTCAATGGCTTTGCACTCCTCCTTAATCTAGAAGGTTTTGTCTGTTTGTTTGGCTTGAAACTGGCAGGAAGGATTCATTCCAGTTCCATGCGCACCTCAAAAAGCTTTGGAGTCTTCTTTTTCCTCACTCGAAGGTTAAAGATTCAAAGTCTCGCTAACTTCATTGCTTTCGATTGATGAAATTTGGTTATGTTGAACATGCCTCTCTCTCATAGTATCTCGAAGTCATGTATTTCCCCCCTTTCCCTCTCTTATCACTATTGAATCTACTGCTCAAACTTTTTTCTCATTGGTATTGGCTTTTTCTTCTGTGCTTTTAGTTGAATAGAAACGCATCCATGTTGCTATGCTTTTAGTTGGAAAGAAGGAACCGCCCCCGTTTAGCCCATTGGAAGCTGCGTTTCAACTGCAAAACAGCTTCTTCGGTAGCCCAAATGAAATTCATGCAAATACAGAGATGGCACATTCCAAATAGGATTGCAAATGAGCTGAGCGGCTCGCGAGCGGTTCGACGTTTGACTCGAGAAAAGCTCGTTCAGAATTCGGTTCGTTAATAAATGAGCTGAACATGAGCTAAGCTTTGCTCAGCTTGTGAAGCTCGCGAACTAGCTCGACTCGGTGGGTTGTTGAGCTAAACTCATGAGTTTGCTCGTTTAGAGCTCATGGATATTGGCTAGAGAGCCAACTCGATTACCGACTTATGGATGAATCAATCTATATCTTATGTTTTTAATTCATATGGTTGTTAAATTATATATCTCGTCATATATAAAGTTTTAACACATTGAGTATGTGAGCAAATATATCTTATTTTCTATTTCAAAAAGAAATTATGTATCATAGATTGTTGCGATACTATGAAATAATATGATTTGGAGTAGTTAAAATTTATTAACTAAATGATATATGTTACCAACAAAGTATAACATGAAATTAGCTAATAAAATAAATCATATGTATCATGATAGACAAATTGAAGAACCAAATAAAAGTCAAGATTTTAGTAAACAAGCTAGCTCGAGCTCGACCTTGACCCGAGCTCAACTTGAAGTAAAACTCAACTCGACTCATTTACAACCCTAATTCCAAAGACTGCTGGCATTGCAGCTCCTTCCTTGTGTAATAGTGGAAGTTACGTCTGCGTGACGTTTGGTTTAAACCCCTTCCCCTTCTTTTATAACAGCAATTAATTTTAAACCGAAACCGAACCGGTGAAACCGTTTATAAACCGATGCGGATTTTTCTGTTTCGGATCGGTTTAAACCAAAAAGTGATAACAAAGTGCTAAAAAATCGAAACCCAAAGGGGAATAAGGGAAAATCACACAAAATATACAGTTTCGGTTTTCAAAAGGGCGGGGTTTTTGGTTTTTAAGGTTCCGACTCGGTTAATCAAATGAAACCGACAACCATCATAGAGCTGCTTAGATAGAGTCGACTCTCTTCTTATTCAGTTATGAAAATTAGGTGCCTGCTAATTAAGTGTATTTGGTAAATCGACACTTCACTAAGATGATATCTATCCAGAATCCTTGTCAGTGCTTTCGAATTTCGATCCTTGGAAATCCCATCCCATTTACAGCTACCTAATATTCCCTCCATTATTCAAATTGTATGAAACTACCGCCCAGCCCAAACCTAGGTGGTCTTCCTGCTTTGTGTGTTAAGAGATCCATATCGGATTAGAATTCTGTTTGAGTCTAACTGAAGGTAGGAGGGAGACTCCGTGAATGTGGGATAGAAGAATGAGCAGGTGAATCTCCAATCTGTTGAAGGCTAGGAGAAGAGAGGGGGAAGGAGGTTGAGAGAGTAGATTCTTAGAGAGATAAGTTGTTGTATTATGTGAGAGAGTCGAAAAGTCGATCCCCTACCTACCGTAGTAAATGCTCTATTTATAGTACATTGTGCTAAGTGGATATTTAATGCGACAAGACCACTACGTGTGTCAGATACATAGGCCATGCCTTAGGCCATAACCCTACCTAGGACTAGGACTAGGACTAGGACGTGACTTCTCCTTCAGAGGGTACGACGCCGTTCCACTCGGCTCTTTCTCCCAGTGCAAACATGATAAAACGACGACGGTTTGGAGCAGGGTGAAACAGTGCCGGTTAATGCTTCACTTGCTCGCGGACATGCCTGCACTCGCGGAAGTCTCTCGGTTGTTCTTCTCGCGGGGCGGATCTGAGCCACATCCCCAACAATTGCCCCCCATCAGGGGGTATTCTGCGAATGCCGCATGTTTTGGTTTTTTACGTCGGACCCGGTTGTGCGCGCTCCTCACTTGCTCTTCTGCGCCTTCGATAATTTGCGCGGCATAGCTTTGTTTTTTGGGTATATCTTTGTTCCGCGGGTGCACCACGATTGTGGTTCGTTCTGCGAATGTCGTCTGTTTTCGTTTCGCGCGTCGGGTCGGTCTTGGTCTTGTGCGTCGGACCCGGTTGTCCGCGCTCCTCACTTGCTCTTCTGCGCCTTTGATAGTTTTGCGCGACATAGCTTTGATTTTTGGGTATATCTTTGTTCCGCGGGTACACCACGATTGTGGCTCGTTCTGCGAATGTCGTCTGTTTTCGTTTCGCGCGTCGGGTCGGTCTTGCGCGCTCCTTGCTCGTTCTACTGCGCCTTCAATATCCTTGCGCGGGGTTTCTTTGGTTTTTCTCCTATATTTTTTGGGTTCCGCGGGTACCCCATGCCCCCCAGGCGGTGTGCGTACCTATGACGTCACCGACTAGCCCCTACGATTCATAGGTGATGACGTGGCGCTCTGCCGTTCACTCGGTTTGGGCGGTGGCTTTTGAAATTCAAACGGTACTGACGTTTCCGGTTCCCGATGTGCTTTGGACTCTTCAGTTACCCCTGTGTGGGTTATAAGTACTCCCCCTTTTTACTGAGAGGATTTACTTTTCCCCTCATTTGTGCTCTCTCTTCTATCGTCTTTTTTCTCTGCCGAAGAGATTCCTCTTTTTCTCCGACGACCCCAATTCTCGATATTGTTCATAGTATTCCTTCGAAAGTACGATGGCCAGCAGCGATGCGAACAATGAGATCGAGGTCGTAGCAGACGAAGAAGGTAATCTTTCTCCTTTATCTCGTATATCTTCCGATCCGTCGTTGGCTCTGGACGAGCCCGACCACAATCGCGACGCCGGAGCAGATGAAGATGGTGTTCCGGATTCTGGACGAGATCTGACGTATGGCTTCTCCGATGCTTGTGAGACGAGCCGTGGTGAGGCAACCTCGCGTGCGCGGGGAGTGTTAATAATCAGGCGTGATTGCTCAAGCGGGTCTGGCGCCGCTCCTGTTAACGCGCCGGAGGCGTCGGAAACTTCATCAGAGCCTCTTTGCTTGTCTCGCGTCACGGAGGCAATGAGCCGTCTCGGAATGCGCAGAGTGGGGGCCGAGTACACAATCCTGGATTGGGAGGAGATGTTTGACGTGGGCCAGGTCCCGTGCGACAGTCTGGTGCGCGGGCCGGACCACGTGTCTGTGTACGGGCGGCGAGAGGTGACTGACCTAGTGCGCGGGTTGGGCTTGCCCCCCAACTGGCAGTACGCAGTTCCCTCCGCGCGGAGTAGAATTGGGAATTGCCCCCCAGGTTGGTTCGGGGTCTACTCGGAGTATTGGCGAATGAGTTTCAAATTCCCCATTGACCCATTAATGTGCGCTCTATCCCGGCCCGTGGGCTGCTCTGTCGCGCGCTTTTCCCCATCTGTCATAATGCACGCCTCTTGTCTTCGCCTCGTTTGCAAGAGGTTGAAGATTCAGCCCACTTATGGGCTTTTTCGAAAAATCTACAAGTTAAGGGGGCCCACGAAGACAAGCGATTGTCTTTCAATTAGGCGGCGAGACAAGCGGCCCGATGGGTACGTGTATGGGTCCCCGAAGTTTGAGAAGGACTGGTTCGAGCGGTTCTTCTTCGTGAAGCCCGCTCCGAGTGAATGGTCCGCTGAGTTCGTGGAGGAGCCCACTACTTGGAAGAAAGGGAGTGTGCAACTTCAAGTCTGAGTTGGGCAAATATGATGAACTTGACAATGGGGCGGCATTCAAATTACAAGCCCATTGTGTTGATAGTTTATTGTTTTTATTATATATTTATTTATTTGTCTTGTTTTCTTAATGATTCCTTATCACGTTTCACTTTTTTTAATACATTATTCTCACCCAAACTATAACCATATAGACTCAATTGGCCTGATACATGGTTTGACCGTCAATTTGGACGGTCAACACCGTTGACCGTTAATCAACGCGCCATGTCATTGCCTTGTCAGCCTAAAAATCATTAAAAATTCAAATTCAAATTATTTTCTTAATTTATATTATTTTTCATTATCAAATTAACCAAAATAAAAAGTATAACAAATTAAAAATATACATTGTTTATTTTTTGGGAAATTTGAAAATGATAAATTTTATAAATTAACAAAAAATTATCAAATTTTTAAAATTTTATTTTTTGTTAATTTGAAAATGATAAATAATAGAAATTAGGAAAATAATTTTAATTTAATTTTTTTTTAATAATTTTAGGCTTACGATGCAATGACACGGCGTGTTGACTAACGATCAACGGTGTTGACCATCCAATTTGACGGTAAACCATGTGTCGGCCCAATTGAGTCTATATGCTCCATAGTTGAGGCCATGATGTTAATTTCTGAAACCACGGGCCAAAGTTGATTATATGGTCATACTTCGGGCCAAAATAGGGTATTAACCCTTTTTTTTCTTGCCAAAGACAGGTGTAGCAAGACATATGTAGGTGTACAATGCAGCATGCTTACAAATATGTAGAAAATTAAATAATCAAATGCGACAGTCGATAGCTAATCGATCCGTAGATAAAAGAGTCTTTTTAGCCACTAAACGGGGAGCTCTGTGCCTCTGTCAATATCCTAAGAAATGCAACAAAGGATGCAAGCGGGTACACAACACGCACCAAAGCCAGAGAAAGCGGAGGATAGAGCAGCCATTCCCATTGCCACATGCATTCAGAACCGCCAACAATTGTTTGGTAACACAGAGCTGCGCCACAAATGAAGCACCTTGGTGGGCCCGTGCCAACTTTCACTATTGAGAAGCATAATGGATGGATGCTTGTATGGTCGAGGGAAAACTATGTGCCCCTACAAGA